GAGACCAGCAACACCGAGGAGCATCTCCTCAATGGAGGTGCTGTAGAAGGTCTCAATGTCTGGAAGAGTCCTTGATAGAGTTTGGATGAGTCGTCCCCACCAAAACTCATGTGGAAATCTGATCCCCAATGTGGCAGTGCTGGAAGCTGTTCATGGGGGCAGAACCCTCATGAATAGATTAATGCTCTCCCTGGGGTGTGCGAGTCCTGAGTGACAGCTTGCTCTATTAGTTCCTGCAAGAGCTGGTTGTTTAAAATACCCTGGCACCTTCTCTCTCTCTTTCTTCCTCTCGCCATGTGATGTGCTTGTACCCACTGGCTGCCGGCTGCCTGCCACTTTCCGCCATGAGTAGAAGCAGCCTGAGGCCCATGCCAGATATAGCTGTCCCAGAATTGTAAGCCAAATAAACCTCCATTTCTTATAAATTACCCAGTCTCAGGTGTTTCTGTTATAGCTACACAAAATGGACTAATATGGTCCTCTTGTCTTCTTCTGTCACCATGTTAATAGCCACACCCTTTGGCCAAAATGTCCACTGCAATCGATTCTGCAGATAAGTTTTCCCTGTTGGTGAGAAGGACATAGTTGATGACTAAAGACACCTACTGCACATCAGTGCCTCTGGCCAGCAGATCAGTGGTCATTGATACTCTGCTAGATCCAGAACGGAACTCCCTCATGATCACATCTCATTCCTTTGGGTCCATATCTCTGTGCACAGTAGAAATGGTGAAATCCCAGGCATGCGTCTTCTCAGCGAGCCAATGGACCATCCTTCAGGTGTCGATGAAGAGGATGCCTGGGCGATGGTCGGGGCTTCTTACAAGTCACACAGTGTGTCCAGCCTCCACTCCTCTCATTCCACATAGATGTAGAATTGGCGATGCCCTCCAGGATCGACTCTTCCTTCCTGACAAGAATCTGAATGGGGTCCCCTTGAGCTTCTTGGTCACCTCAAGCACATCAGAAGGCATTGTAGCTGACAGCAACACCACCTGGATGCTGCTGTT